AATGATCCAAAATTATTTAGAAATTTAACAAACACGAATGATTTATAGAAAGATAAAAACCATATTAAATATGAAAAAAACGGGGGCATTTATATTTTTTCACTTTCATCATTTTAAATAATTACTTGCTGCACGTACCTTATTGGATTCTTTTCTATAGGCGCCTCGCAATGAGCTGATTTTTTTTTTGGACTAGATCCTTGTTGGCGTTGATATCTTTCGTTTTGAATAGTTCTATCAGCTGGTCCATCGCCCTACCTCTCTTGTTTTTGTCTTGGTAATCTGGGTCCGATACTTTCCAGAGGCATGTTGACTCTTTATATAGTTCTATCACATCGATAACGAACTGCCGAGAACTCATAACTGAAAGAAGTAAATAAGTTTATGAAGAAGTTTTCTGTTTGAAAGTTTTATTGAAGAAATAAATTTTCAGAGGCCTACCAATATAAATTGCAGCTCAGATGAAATATCAAAACTGCGCGCGAAAGAAGAGATATATCATTTAAAAAGCATATAAATGAAATTTCACAAAATCGTTTCGGAAGTATTTAAAAAGAACTTGCTTAGTGCAATTCTTTTCGAAAATTTTGATAACATTAGAAAAATACGCAATAAAGATGGACTTAATTTATATTCTTAATCAAAGTACTTAAAATTATTTAATCCACTGGACGAATCATTACAATACGGAATTTCATCCAAGTAAATAAATTAATAAAATAAAAAAAACATAAAAACTATCTGAGATGGAAGAGTTATTAATATACTTATTGGAATAATGATAACGACACGAATCTTCAAACTAATTTCTACAACAACTGTATCATGGATTTTTCGGAATAAAAGTTACATTAAACAACTATGGTATTTTCAGAAATACAATAAGAGTTTGTTTTGTTTACTAAACGATTCCATTAACTTAGCATTACAACGGAATTACGTAAGCATTTTAATGTAATTACCAAAACAGAAAACTCGTCCATACTATATAAGCAAATATTAATTATAAAAAATCAACTTGAAATTTACCTCTTTGAAAATGAACGAACACGGCGGAACAGCGAGACAGAAAGCCCTGAACACGTCAATTTCATTTGATCTTTGATCATCAAATCAGCATATTAATACAATATTTTTTATTCTGTTTCGAGGCGCCTCACCCACGAAATTTCCCCTCCCCCACCCCACCGCTGATCTACGATTTGCCTCGCAACCCGTGGAGTTCAGTCTAGACGGAATTCCAACATTGGCAGTCCATTTGGCTCGTTTCCTCAGATTTGATGGGTTTTTCCGTCTCGCGTTCCAAAAATCCGTGAAGTGAGTGGCCGCCTTTAGAGGCAGGTCCACAGTTCAGGATTTTCATAGAAAGTTTCATTTTGTCGCCAAATTCGCCAACTTTGTCGCCAAGTTGCCATAATTGTCGTTAATGTCGCCAAATTTGTCGTCAAGATTAGCATGTCAGGGAAACAGCTTTGTAACAATATATACTTTCTGAATCGACTGACAAAATTTTAAACAATGAAGTCACTGAATTTAGGATTTTACTTAGTCGAAAATATTTGTTTGGGTTTATATAAATACCAATTTGATTTCATATTTCCCTCTGTGCCATAAATGTTAATAACTTATATTCCTTACTTTAAAAGTTTCTTATTAATCCACCTACATAAGAATTACATCATCGTACTTTTTGTTGATATTCATATAATGCAAAATTCATCAATATATTTTGAAAACGCAAATAACCAAATAATTTTTGAAAAATTATACATTTTAAATGGCAGTAGTGCTCACCAATATAAATTCGGAGCATTATTTAAAATTCACGTAGAAAATATTAAACATCGCTAAATTTTAAATTTTTAATCTTTAAACTTTAACAAGTCTTTGCATTTTATAATTTCCGGGCAAGCTCAAAGTCTCTAATTAAACAAAAACGGGGGGTTGTTTAAAACTATTTAAAAAGTTGCTAATTACTATCCCATCCCAACAAAAAACTAATTAATTTACCATTGTCTTTTGATTTGAATTACTAAATAACTTCGTCATACTATAATGATGATTGCTAAAATATGTTATTCTTTGTTTTGTAAAAGTTTGCTCAAATTCACCTTTGAAACAAAATAATAGAAGTAAATGAAATCGTAAATAAAAATTATCGTCGAACGTAGGCGAAGTCTCTCTCATTTTTTAAAACAAAATACCTTAAAATTATTTAAACTTAAGCATTCCAAATATTGTATTTCAAAGTACTGAAGAACATTAAAAATATAATTTATTTTGAAAAATCGTAACAATTTAATGCAATATGAAACATCTTACAGTTTCGTATTAAAGAGTGTAACATCAATAATCATTTGCAAAAACCTTTTATTTATTTATTTTGAATGAAAGAAATCGTTTGCTTACAAAAAATTTATAACTTTGACTCTGCCTAAACAAATCACATTAACAAACTTTCACATTTGTATCATTTTGAGAATAATGCAAAAAGTAGTTATTCGATTTCATTTACTAAAATATATCGCCTCACAGTTATAAAATAAAAAATTTCAGAAGTTCGCTTTCGAAGCCAATATTATGAAAACAAATGTGAGAATTAATAGAAGGCAACATCAAAAGCTAGCAAACGTGTCTCATTTTCTAAACATCATTAAACAACCTTTTTACTCTTCCATTTACTCTCTCCCAGCATAAATTATCATTTAAAATTAAAATTATCTAGATAATCATGTTTATCGTCATTGATGAAGAGGTATTATTTGCAAGAAAACTTGAAACATAATACCACTTCAGGAGAAAAAATTCGATGACTATCACTTGCTATTAGTTTCTAATTTATGCAAGTTCTGAAGAATTTGCTCTAAAAAAATCTGTTTTTGATAAAAGGAGTTCATTAAAGTGTTTTAATTAGAGATACGAAAAAGATAATTTTGAAATCAGGGATAAAAATTGCGTATCAACACTTATGTCAAAAATGCTGTTATGAATATAGATTTAACGTATCGCTGAAGTGATATTTGTCCTTGATGATTCTAATTATGTAAAAAAGAAAAAAATGAGGTGTAATATGGATTCTGCGCAGTTAATTCTACTAACATTCCTTGCTATGTAACCAGTATAAGACAATTTAACTAAGTACTTAACATTCAGTTCTGATGTTTTAGTTTAATATTAACACTCCGTTAGGCACACGAAATTTTGTTGCACAGTATGTCGGCCATACACTCTTCCTTTTTTACAAGATTTTTTTCCTTAGAAGAGATATATCAGATACAAATTAAAGAATAAACATCTAAGAAATGAAAAACAAAAGAGCAAAAATAATTTTAAATTAGTAATTTGAATATTTTTATAGAGACAATTATACTATGACAAATCACAACATTTTATATATACTTTTTATAAATAATCACTATAGGCTTAATTATGGCATTTTTACCGTATTTTTTTAACACTTTGTCACTTCCACAATATTTGCATTTACCTTTATTACTCATCGACTTTGTTGTTTTTTGGTTCTCACCGTAGATTTTTAACATAAGATTTTTAATTCCATCGGAAGGCAGGCATTGTGCAGCTCTGCATACAATTTGAAGTATGTGTAATAAGTATGAAACTGAAATTTTTGATAGCATCAAGACTTTTCATCTACTTATCGATATTATTATACTTGAAAATTGCAAAAGCGTTAATAGTAGACTTGTTTCAAAGATTGGAAAAAATAACCATAATCTAATAACAAGTAATTCTTGAGACATCATTTCTGGGGCATAGCTGATCTAAAAACCAACTCCTTTTGACACGTAACAAAATGCAACAATTTAAGGTTTTTTGTAATCACCTGTCGTCAATAGAAACTGAAAAGTTCATGGTAAATAATTATGACGCAAGCGTTGCCAAATATTCAAGAGTTTATTTCTCGCTTCTTATACGGTAAAAATTATTTGAGTAATTCCCGTTTTCTAGTTCTACCATTTTTTAGAATAAAATTCACTGAAATTTAATAAATATTTAAAAATTAAATGAAGCTAAGTGCCAGAATTTCACATGGAAAAACAATAAGTCGATAAGAAATTAAGCATTATTACAGAATCAGCGAAAGAAGAAATACGATGAACTGCCTATTCCTCTTACACGTTTAGGAGCGGGGGTACATCTGCCCCAATGTATCTTTTTGTTCTCTTATCTCTAACCTTTAGAACTTGAATGACTGTGCCATATTGTTCCTGAATATTTCAAGAACAGGTACTGAAAGTTTAATCTTTAAACAATGAATGGAGTTTAAAGGGCAGCGCTTTGAAAACTAATGATGGACACCTGTATCCCACGCGACGAACGAAGGGTTAAATGATTTTAGTTCTAATGGCCATTTTTAGATTCAAAGTGGCGGCATTGTTACTTGAATTTTTTCAGGATGAATAGCTGAAATATGAAGGAGTTTAGTTTAGTTATATGAACGTCTCGTTTTGAAGCAACACGAGATCTATTTTGGAACGGACCTCGTAATTTTGTACCATGGTTAGATGAAGAGGACGACACCTAAGCGCGTGCACCCTCTTCTCCAAACTTCCGCACCACACAGCCATTTTATTTGTGGAATGCCATTGATAATTAAAATTGGAAATGTATATTTTGTTTCTCCCTCGCCATGGTAAATTTTTATTAGTAAATAACTTTCAATCCATATATTGTTATTTGTATTGTCTCTTTGGTCGGTGAGCCCTTGTAATGTGAAACTTCTATATATGTTAATATGTATTTAATTTCCACCCATGTTGCGGGGTGTAGTATGTATATATGAGGAAAAACTTTTAATAAATGCGAGTGGGGCTTGTGTCTTCCTGCTGGTGGTGGTCATTTCTCTTCCGACTCTTTGATGCCTCAAACCCAGTAGGGTAGACTGGGTAGGGATGAGTTAAATTAAACCACACAGCTGGAGGACTTTTGACCCTCTGTGTATGATTTAGCGTGCAGCAGGCTCAATATCCGACGAATCTTCAGTGGAATCAGGTTTCGAACCTGAAATCCTCCGAGTCGGAGGTCGATATCTTACCACTAGACCACCACGGCCTCTCGAATACGAGGGAAGAAATTTAGTTATTCATATTGCATTCTACAGTCGGGAGTTAATACTAGACAGAAAGTCATGCACCTATTATAAGGGTAATTTGCATCATGCATCTTCAACAACGCGAATGGAAACAAGTTATATGCTTAAAATAATACCAATTCCGGATTATTTACCAAACACTACCAAAACGTGGTTTTTGTGAAAAAAAATTAGCATTATATACTTACTTAAAACTCATTATGGTTTATTGGTTTACAATGGTGCTCGCCACAGCTGACATTTCTCTTTTAAAACTTCTGGTCTTTTCGCATTGCTCTTTTACACACATTCACCTCTTTTCAAACAATTTTATTTACCTTCACTTGTGTTTTACTTATATTAAGAAATATTGTGGAATATATTCAATATATTACAATATTTCACTCCCCATAAAACAATATATGTATATACTCATAATAATACAATATTTTAATAGTTTCAAAATGTTGGCATGTCGTGAGTGTAATTTGCAGAGTAACGCAGATACCAGGCAGTTTAAAATACAAAAGAGCTTTAATCCAGTTTACTTTAAAAAATAAAGACATGCTGCTGTCTTGCAGCTTACACACTCAATGACAGCCATAAATTCGACTGACTACAGCTACCTCTACTGATAGCTTAAAAACACAAATGAACAATATATATATATATATAGATTGTAACAACCAATCAACTTAGACTAGTGTCGTAACTTCGGCTACGTCATGAAAATTAACCAATGAGATGCTTTCATTCAGTGACTGAACAAGTTCATTTGAATTCCAACACAAAACTTAATTATTAATTAATTAGTTCATTTTATTTAGTTTCGATTCAATACTTGAGGCACCATGAGGTATAGAAATTTAAAAAACACATTACAAGATTCCATAATAATTATACGGATTAAGAAATATATTAAATACTAAAAAGCAGAAAATAATGAAAATAAACAAAGTAAACAATTTAGAGTGATTTCGTATAATTTTGGAGCGTCTGGAACATTTTTCAGAAAGGCCATTAATTGTTTATAAAAATTACATTTATACCCATAATTCAGAAACAAATAAATATATTGATGTGAAATGCTGTGTGTTGTCTTATATAGTGCTCTTATTAATGTCTGGAAAATTTCAAATTGATTGGTTGAAAATTTTAAAAAATGATTTTGAAGCACCATGTCGCCTTAATGACACCACGTGCAAAAAATAAATATTTGCTCTTCAAAACTTTTCAGTGCGTATATCAAAACTGGGCATAAAGATACAAAAGGTTTCAACCAAAGCATTCTTGTCGCCAAATCCTATCATAATGAAATGCTACGAAAAAGAAATTTTACCAACAGTCATAAACCTCAGATATTTCTTTCAATATCTTTATCACGAAATGAATTTTTTCCAGTATTTGACCTAAAAAAATCTTTTAATCTGCCCTGCTTCTGGTTCATTCGAGCCTAACGAAAGCAGTAAATTTATTTCTCCTTTTCCTACTTTTCGAAAGTAAAGGGCTCTTAAGTGTGGACAAATTTAGTTTTCGCTTCAATTCACTATTTAATTAGAGATACGGAAGAAAAAAATCTTAAGATGCCCTTCCCTAATAGTGGATAATTCGGTTAATTTTTCTTTGCAGTGTTTTCTTTAAACTGTTAAGACGGCAGAGGAAAAATATTGGCTTGTCTAGCATTTGTGTTCGGAATTCAAACGTGATTATTATAAAAAAAATCTTGAAAGAAAATTTAAATAAAACTGAATTAGATTTTACCAATATTTTTTATATAAGAATTAAAATTTTTTGAGTGTTAGAGATGAAGGATACAGAATTTTGATCACCTAAATATTTTTTATGTATAGCGATAGAGAAGTAACTTCAATTTTAAAAAAACTAGTACAATTTTTTTGGAAGTTACTTAGCTTCAAAACAATGAAATCACCTTTTTAAGAAGTACAATTTAATCACACAAGTACAGTTTAAAGCAGGAAAAAGCGGCATAAAAATTTGTGCCATCGCTCCAATTGAGGAAATTGATTTCCAAATTGGATTACCAATTTCGTTAAGCAGATTTAAATCAAAAGTATTCTTTGATTCGAAAATTCACATCAGCGCACAATGTATGAACCCGAATAAGACATTTTATGCACTATATCATTTCTTCCTCGTCCTTTTTTTCTCACGTATGATGCAAAACGGGATAGCCTTAGTTTTTTCACCTTTAATACAAAACCAGGTAACCTTAGTTTTTTCACCTATAATACAAAACCAGGTAGCCTTAGTTTTTCAGCTATAATACAAAACCAGGTAGTCTTAGTTTTTTCACCTATAATACAAAACCAGGTAGCCTTAGGTTTTGTTCTTTTGATACCAATATTTGATATTTTAATGTCCTTTTTCTTTGGCTTTTCTTTTTTCCTAATTTATATGGACTACTAGTGATTTTAACTCTTTTCTGGACTATATCTTTAGTTCAATATAATAGTGCTATTGATTTAAAGAGTTCAATTTCAGCAACAGTTTGTGATCGAATTTGACAACAATAAAAAAATTCCCTTAACTTTATCTTTAAAATATTTTGATCAAATTATTATCGTAAATTGTAGCCAAACGAGCTTTTTATTTGGGGATATAATAACATATTTTGCTATTTACTTTAAAACAATGTAAGAACTATTAGTCATTTGTTAAAATTTTTAGTTGCTAATATCCAATTCTAAACACTCTTTCTCTAACTGTAATGCTTTCTCTTAAATATGATTCCCTAAATCACACTTATATCGTTGCAACATTTTATTTTATTAAAAATTTTGAACTTAAGTGAGATGGCACACAATCTAAAGTAATTAATTTTTTAAATGGTGTATTTTAAATCGCTTGAAACATTTATGTTTGATTTAATAGACGATACAAATATACCAAAATGCGAAAATATTCGAACAACTCAATATGCTATCTTCAATATTCGAGCAACGCAATATACAATCTGCAATATTCGAGCAACGCAATATACAATCTGCAATATTCGAGCAACGCAATATACAATCTGCAATATTCGAACAATGGAAATAACATAATCTGCAGTTGATGGATCTGATGATACTAGAAAGTTGATAAGAATAAGTAGAATCATTGGTTCAATGTAAATATGTGAATTAGTTTCTTTTATTTCGACGTCCTTATTTTTTTTTCTTTTATAGTTGATAAAGGATCGCAACAAAAAATTTTACTTAGACTGCAATAGATTGTCAGTTTAAACAAAACATTCCCTAAAAGATTTTTCTGTAGAAAAGAATTCAGTAACGAAGAAAACTTCCTCAAAAATTTCTTAGCGTCTTTTTTTTATTTATTAAACATCAAATAAACAATACCCTACACAAAAAAGCAGTTTCTCTAACCATAATAAATTGTCACTAAATCCCAAACGCTTGTTACTCATTCATAACTTATAAGTAAAACGCAGAAAACTTTTATCAAAAGATTTTCCTTATTATCTTGACAAGAAGGAAACTCTTGAAAATTTAACGCCTTCACACTTTTAGCCTTAATTAACAATCCATGTTTTTTTTCTGCAGATACCTTTGGATTTTTAATGAGATATGGCATTATGCCACTGTTAGAAAATATTCCATTCAAATGGCGACTAATTAGTTCCATCTGTTCTTGGATTATTAATTACGTCTCTTCAACAAAACGAAGGTTTGAGAAAATATCTTTAAATTGTTTCACAAATTAATTGGTTTTCCATGTTGACTGACCGAAGTTGTGGTTCTAGAATTTCTTTCCGACTAAATATATTTTGTTTCTGAAACCATTGTCTTAAATATATTTTTTATGATTTACACCGAACACACGTTTGGTGATGTATTTGTTAATTGAGTCGTTCAGAAGCCAATGTGATTAAGTCCAGAAAAAAATTGATAAAATTAATGTCTTTGATAAATTAATTTTTTAAAAATTTTGTTTATTAATTTGATAAGCAAAAGTATATAAAGTCTTCTAATGAAGAAACGAGTAGTTCCTTTAAAAACTAAAAATAATATTTTTAATTCATTAAAATTTACAAAAAATCAGAAAATATCAAAAAATGGACTTAACCGCATTGGCTTCTGAACGACTCAATTACGTTTAAATTATTTATAAAAAATGATGATATTTCTGATACAATATCGTTGTTAGAAAAATCTAAATATGAAACTTACAAACATTGCTGTTAGATTGCAAAAATTGCATCTACATCTTTTTTCGGTTTTGTCAGTATTTTTAATTAATTTAATTCTTCGCCACCAAAGTTTATTTCATCTCTTGTGGCATCTTTGACAGTTTTTGAAATTCAAACGATAATTTTGAGCCGTTTCATTAAATATCTAAATTTTTCTTAATCATTTACTTTGTATTCGATTTAAATAGTATTTGTCTTAACTTTTGTTGTTGTTTCCATTAAGGTTTCAAATTTATTAATTTTTAAATCTAAAATTTTCAACGGGATTATTTCTTCGCCATCTTGTTGCGGATGAATTTAGATGTTATCAGGTTTTGACGTATCTGGCTGGAGGCTTTTTTCCGTTATGCAAGTAAGATTCCTTTGTCTTTTGGTTTGAATTTTCTGAAAGGATAACACGCATCCTGGAGGTTTAGAGACAGTTGGGATTTATTCCTTCGGTTCTCGGCCTCTCAGGCTTGCATACAGTAGAATAAATCTGATTGTAAAGAAATCTACAAAAGATCTACAACGTTGAATTTAAAAAGAAATCAACAGACTATTTATCTTGTTTGAACCGACCTCTCTTTGTCTAGGACGATTCGAGTTCATGCTGAACTGAAGCAGATTTCTTACGTTTGGAATGGCGAATTTTTATATTACGTATATCTACTCTTCTAAAGAAGTTTGCAAAATAGCAAAATAACTGTGGTAGAAAGTGCTCTTCATATAGCGAACAGCAGTGCTGGCTTCAAAAAATGGAAAGTGGTGTGATAAGATGGAGTAGGAAT